CCCTCCAGTTCCATCCATGTAATTGCAAATGGCAAGATTTCATTCTTTTTGATTGTCGAGTAATACTCCATTGTATAGATATATCACATCTTCTTTATCCATTCATCCATTGATGGACATTTGGGCTCTTTCCATACTTTGGCTATTGTTGATAGTGCTGCTATAAACATTGGGGTGCATGTGTCCCTTCAAAACAGCACACCTGTATCCCTTGGATAAATGCCTAGTAGTACAATTGCTGGGTGTAGGGTAGTTCTATTTTTAGTTTTTTGAGGAACCTCCATACTGTTTTCCAGAGTGGCTGCACCAGCTTGCATTCCCATCAGTACCCAGTCATCTTTAAAATAATAGTTTCGCTTGGTGGTTCTGAATAGGGGCTTTGGAGTCAGATCTGGGTTAAGTTCTAGCTCTGACACTTACCACTGTGTGACCTTGGTGAACAAGTTATTTAACCTCAGTTCAGTTTCTTCAGTAGTCAAACAAGGATAATTATGGAACACTCGCTGGGTTGATCAGATGTAAGGATTTTACATTTTACATCTGATCTGAAAGATCAGATGTAAGGATTTTCGGCACAATGCCTGGCATATGGAAAGCTTCCAAAAATAAGGGCAGCTAGTAGTAATAGTAGTGCCAGTCAAGAAAGACCAACAGATGATTCATCTGACTGTACTTTGAAAGCATGGCCTAGGGGACAGAGTCTTAGATTTGATATGAGAAACCCCTGGGTTCAAACTCTCACCTGCTGTTTGACGTCAGGCAAATGCAGCACCTGGTGCCAAAGCTGGTATGCATAAACTTGGCTATCTTTTCCATGGAATATTACTTCAGTGAGGGTGAGGTTCCACCAGGTAACATCCAAACAAACAATGGGTTTGGATTTGGCCCAAATCCTGACTTTCCAAAAGTGAGTGGTAAATAGAGCATTTTGCAAGCAACATTGCATGCATTTCCAAAAATGTATGCTTTTTTTATTACAAATGAAATTTAATTGAAACCAGAAAACATTATGTTCTAATTACTGCATATACCATTTAGGACTAGTTTTCAGAACAACCTGGCATACTGAGGTTTCACACTAGAATTCAATGGTTAAAATTCAATAGTTAAAATTTGAGCAGCACAACCTAGTGGTTCTAATCTATTGAACATATATATATTCAATATATATTTTCTAATCTATTGAACATATATATATTCAATATAGATATTCTTATTTATTGAATATATACATATACACACACACACACACACACACACACATATATATAAGCTGGAGAACATCATAAAAACCAGATAAATGCTCAGATCTTCTGGTTGAACTGGAGATCAAGACCTCAAGGAATCCCTGTTCCCTTTCCCCTCAGATCCCTTTCTCTCCCTATACATTGACCTTGTCCAGGTGACAAAATCTTAAATTCCATATAACATCAAAAGCATAAACAACAAAAAAAAATTAGATAAATTGGCCTTCATCAAAATGTAAAACTTTTGTACATCAAAGAACACCATCAAGAAAATGAAAAGATAACTCACAGAACAGTAGAAAATATTTGCAAACCATATATCTGAAAAGGTCTAGTATCCAGAATATATAAAGAACTTTTATAACTCTATAACAAAAAGGCAAAGAACCCAGTTTTTAAATAAGCAAAGGACTTAAAGAGACATTTTCCTAAAGACAATATACAAATGGCCAACAAGCACATGAAAAGATACTCATCACTAATCATTAGGGAAATGCAAATCAAAAGCACAGTGAGAGGCACCTGAGTGGCTCAGTTAAGCGTCTGACTTCGGCTCAGGTCATGATCTCACGGTTCCTGGGTTCGAGCCCCTCATCGGGCTCAGTGCTGACAGCTCAGAGCCTGCAGCCTGCTTCAGATTCTGTCTCCCTCGCTCTCTGACCCTCCCCCACTCACACTCTGTCTGTCTCTCTCTCTCTTTCTCTCTCTCAAAAATAAATAAACATTAAAAAAAAAAGCACAACGAGATACCACTTCACCACCTCTGGGATGACTAGAATTAAGAAAAAAGACAGAAAGTAACAAGTATTGACAAGAATGTGGAGAAATTGGAGCACTTATACATTATTGGTGGGAATGTAAAATGCTGTTATGGAGAATAGATTGACTAGTCAAAAAGTTAAACATAGAATTACCATATGAGGGGCTCCTGGGTGGCTCAGTCGGTTAAACATCCAAGCTCTTGATTTCAGCTCAGGTCATGATCTCATAGCTCATGAGATCGAGCCCCATGTTGGGTTCTGCGCTGACAGCAGGGAGCCCACTTGGGATTTTCTCTTTCCTTCTCTCTCTGCCCCTCCTTCACTTGTGTTCATGTTCTCTCTCTCACTCTCTCTCAAAATAAATAAGTAAACTTAAAAAAAAATTTTTTTTAAAGAATTACCATATGAGTCAGCAATTCCACTTATCCTGCTTTATGTAATGTTCTCCAGCTTAAACATATATAATCAATTAGAACCACTAGTTGTGCTGCTCAAATTTTAAACACTGAATACTAGTGTGAAACCTCCGTGTGCCAGATTGTTCTAACAAGACTCTATACCCCAGCAATTCCATGTTCCCAAAAGAATTGAAACACAGGTGTTCAAACAAAAACTTGCACCTAGTGTTCATAGCAGGACTCTTCAGAGTAATCAAAAGGTTAAATGTACTCAAATATCCACCAAATGATGAAAGCATAAACAAAATGTGATGTGCCAATACAAAGGAATATTATTCAGCCAGAGAAGAGAGTAGTGATACATGCTACAACATGGATGTACCTTGAAAACATTATGCATTCCTTTTATATTGAAACATTCAGAATGAGCAAACTCATAGTGACAGAAAGCAGATTAGTGGCTGCCAGGGGCTGAGCGGAGAGGGGACAGGAGAGTGACGGCTTAATAAGTATGAGGTTTCCTTTTGGGATAATGAAATGTTCCAGGAACTAGCTAGTGGTGACAGTTGCACAATGTTGTGAATGTACTCCATGTTACTAATGGACTGGAGTGTCAAGTCCCCTCTTAAAGGGGGCAGCTACGACTCCAGCTCCTGCGGGTAGTTGCCAAGACAGAATTTGGGCCCACAGT